TTATGACACCGTTTTTCCATGTGGTGTTAGGTTTAAACCGAGCGGGGCCAAGCGATCTGCCGCGCCGAGTGCCAGGGCTGCGCTCAGGGAGCCGGGCTGTGCTCATCCTCACACCTGAGGGGTGTCACAAAGCTGTCACGCACCCTTTTCATGACACTGTACGTGTCATTGTAAGTCTTGTGGAACATGATTTGGGGGATCCCATGCAAACACAGAGCTGGCGCTGGCTCAGCACAATGCCAGGCTCAGCCCTGCCAGAGAGGCTCCGTGCCCTCGCCAAGCCCGTCTGCGGCTCGCTCGGCGTGCGAGCTGGTTTCCCGTGGCAGTAATCCATGCCGGGATGCCGGCAGAGAGCGGGAGGCAGCCGCCCTGTCCCCTGAGCCGGCCTGGCACGGCGGCGGGACACGCGGGGACAGGCAAGGACATGGGCTGCCACCTGCCCGCGGGGACAGGCAAGGACTCGGGCTGCCACCTGCCCGCGGGGACAGGCAAGGACATGGGCTGCCACCTGCCTGCGGGGACAGCGCGGACACAGACTGCCACCTGCCCGCGGGGACAGGCAAGGACAGCCGGCAGCGCCCCGAACAGCCCCGCTGCCCAGCCTGGCTGCTTAAACAGCTTTAAAGGAGCCTTACTCTGCTGAGGTGTGTGATTGGGAAGTTTAAAAATATTGAGTTGCTTAGTGACCGCTATGCATTCTTGGATAAATGAGGGGACACCGTCTGGTATGAAGTTAGTTGCTGCTCCACTTCCTCAAAGTACAGGAATAGGTGCTGTCCTCGTATCTTAGAGACACACCTGGAACCTGAAGACCCTTTGAGACAGCCCAGATCGTGGCCATCCTTCCCGTGGGCTGCGGTGGTCCCCACCCAGCAGAACCAGGCACAGCCAGTCCCAAGAGGGACAGAGAGTGGCATGACAGAGAGTGGCATGAAGCCATGTGCTTCACAGCAGTTTGAGCAGTATCATAAAACATTCCCTGCAGCTTCAGCTATCCCAGAGAAGTCTAGAGAGGGATCTTTATGTCATTTTAAGGAAGGACTAGGAAAAGACCAAGAAACACAAACTTTCCAGTACTGATAATTTGGAGAATGTATCAATCCCATCACTGACTGTAGGATAAGTATGCAGGAAATGAACCTGGGTACTTCTGTTTCACCAGTTTCTTGTTCATATCCCAAAGACACACATACAGGTAGATCTATCCTGTCCTACAGGCATCCAGTCATATGGACATCACTGTGGGAAGATGTATGGGAGACAGGGACAGTGATCTCCATGTTCTGCATGCCCCTGGGGTGTGGGATGCTCAGTGCTGTCTCTCCAAGGTCTGTGCCTTTGGTTTCCTCCTGCCAATGCTTTTCATCACCTACTTCTCTCCTGTATTTGTTCAGGATCTGTTTTTTCCAATATTCCTTTGGTCATAGACATTTTTGCTGATTCCCCACTAGGTTGAAAATAATTTTCCACTTTATCACAACTGCTAGTATGTTGAGGGAGCAAGAGACATTGTATAAAGTGATGGGAAAGGGCTCTCTAGCACTCTGAAAGCTTTAAAATCTTTGCTTTCAGTTTGGAAGGGAATTTCAACTAAAACCACTGAAAAGCTCTTCAGAAAACACTGACTGTATGTTGTTTTGTGATTGTTCCCACATCCCTCATAATTCTCAACCACAGCCCTGTGCTAGAGGCTAGATACACATGGTGGGTATTTTTGCTCTTGCTAGCAGTGGGACAGCAGGAATGCAAGCTTCCCTTTGATGTCCAGAATCAAAGTATTGACAAACAGTAAGAGAGGGATGTGAGTTTTGAGGTTGTATCTTCCCTCAGAACAGGAAAACTGCCTATCTCCAAGCTTTTCCCAATACTCTTTTATTCTTCTCACAAATTGTTTTCCTTTTCTCTCCTTCATACAGGAAATAAGCCTGAGCTCTCACACTTGAAAATGCTTGTCATGCTATCTGTGCAGAAACATTTCAGACTCCTTGTACTGAGCACTTCATTTCTCACCCACATCTTTTCAAGAACTGGCAGCCTGCAGAATAACTTTGAAAACAATTTATTTCATATTGCAGCAGTCCTGTATACTAGAGCTGTCTTTAACCATTCCTGTGTTCTGCTGGTACTGCAATGTAATATTGATTTTGTTTCTGTCATTTTTGGGTCTTTGGTTTGCTTGCAGAGCAGCTGTAACTGCACTACATTTTGCAGCATGAATGAGCTGCGATGGTGTGGATGTGCACAGCAAAACAGCCCTTGGAATTTCTGGACAAACATCTCACAAATGGGCACTTTCACTCTGTAGGGAACTTGGGTAAGATCATCCCTCTGGCCTCTTTTTTCTGTGTTCCTGTTCTTCTATTGTACTTATTTTAAAATAACAATTGTTTTGGCTGTACTATTTGCGTGACACATGACATTGTTTTGCGAAGTTTTGGCTTACTGAAGAGAGAACTTTTCCTTTGTAATCTGCTTTTCAAAACGTGACGAGTCATTCCCTGGGCAAGTTTCTGTTTCGGTTTTCACTTGCTTTTCTGATGCTATTTCTATAAAACAGGGGAGTTTGGGCTTTGGTGTTGTTTTTCTTGTACAGCCCTCGTTTGAAAATTATGTCAGAAGCAGGAGGCAATGGAAATCTGGATGTGCTACTGCAGGTCAGCAGAACTAAATCACCTTTATTCCCTGGTCCAATTACTCTAAGCTTGATCCAGCTCTGCTCTGCACTGCTGACTGCAATGTGGACGCATACAGACACCTTTGGAAAACTAACTGCACAGTATAATCAATCCTCCTATTTGATGCACAGTGTTACAGTTAAGAACAAAAAATTATGATGTGTGCTAACCACCAGAGTTAATGGCAGTCTGAGTTGAGCTCTGCAAGCATCTCCTAAAGAAAATCTGACTCATTGCTCAGGGACTTTTTTTAAACCATCCTTTTTATACTGAGGTTGGGGAATTCCAGTGTGACGAAAGAAAAATTATCATTTTATTTCACTGTCAGAAATTTATGAGGTTTGGTGGCTCCATTTTAAGATCACTGTAGGTCAGATTGGTCAGTTCCCTGCCCCACTGGAACCCTGAGAGTTGGACCACCTTCATTTCTGCTGGTCAGATGCTTCACTTGGAGAGATGAAGCCAGAAGCCAAGGGAAGAAAAAGTTGAAGTCAAGCGTCTGCCAACACAACTTTAAGCTACATTCATGCCTTCCTGGATGGCACATGGTATAAAGGAGTAGCCTATCTACCAGGGCATGTGAGAGCATGGAGCTCTCCCTCCTGTCTTGGCTGTGCTTCTACACAACTGCATCCTACAGAGGATGGCAGAGCCAACCCCACTGCTGTGCTGCTTTTCTGAAAGGCAGATATTTTATTCTCTTAGGCATGTGGAACCTGGCCAAAACAGGACCAGGATCAACACATTGTCATAGTGTGTCAGAGCTGTGCACAGAGAGCACAGACACAGTGCCAGGTGTTAGTCAGTCCATGGCTGCACAATTTGGCCCATGGCTGTTAAATCATCTGACTGCAGCAGCCTGAAGGTTTTCCTTCAAAAAGCAGCACAGTGTGGGGATTTTGACAATATAGCAGTGGATTAGACACTTAGAAAATGCAGCTAGATTAGAGGCTCCAAAGTGGGGTGGAAGGTTTTTCGGACTGCTTACCATGGAAGGTGCTTGAGAGCTGTACAACATACACTGGGCCTGGGCACAACGTGCTCTGTGTCACTGAGACCTTTAACAGGTCAAGTCTATGAAACAGGTAATGAGTTCAAAGCTATGTCCTGCCCTTCCTTTCAGGCTCCTGCTTGATGCCATGCACAGATTTTAGCTGTTTCCAAAGGCTATGTACTGCCTTCCCAGGTGCCTCACTTCCAGCTATGTGGCATTTTGGAGGAACTGTGGGCTGTGGGCACCCAGCATTGGCAGGGGTTGATTGCCAGCCTCTGGCACCCTGTGGCTAGCCTTACCTTGCCCTTTCCAGGTCCTGTGGTCAGGTGGTTGGCATGGGACCCTACCCCACACACCCCACACACCGGTGGGCAGGTGAGAGCCAGCACAGGTAGCTCTCTTCCTGTTTTGGCTGAGTCCTGATACTGGCTGGAGATTTTCTCCAGGGAACTGATGACAGAACAAAAGAAAGGTGACTTTCTTACCATGTAATCTGGAAAAGTCAAACCTTTCCAGTGAAGTCCCCCCTTCTGTTGAAAGACTTTGTGAGATTTGCACAAATGGGGGTGTGAAAGGGAAAGACCTCACAGCAAAGCTGCCAGCACTATACTGGTCCTTTGAATTTAGGAGCTGAGTCCTCTGCGCTTGGTGATGGAAGAAAGGTAAGGTGTTTTTTCGTGAGAATGATCTCCTTTATTCTGATTTGCTAACCTGAGTAAAAGCAAACTTAAATATGACATCTATATACTGCATGATAAGAAAGACAGAAGTCATGCATTACGCAGATTTTTTTTAATGAAGAAGATGCTTTCATTGTACCAATTTCTGCATTAGAAAAGCATCATACACTCTGAAGGTTGCCTTCCAGAAATGATGGTTCTGTTGTGCTGCTAACCCTTCAGCTCCTATTTCTCTGAAGGTTTTGAACATTAGAAGAGAACAACAGAAATCATTGTTTTTACTAGAACTGGGAGATTTTTCTATAGAAAAGTTGCACACATATACAAAACTCTATATACACACAGAAGTGCTTTTATGAAAAATAGAATCTGTATTTGCAGCACAGTAGAATCTACACAGCAACACCTACATTTCAAATTAATCAAGTGTAAGGTAGGTAACTTTTTTTTTCAAGTACTCTTTCTGGTACACTTTGTAGACTCATAATACCAGACCTTTCTCTTCAAAAAAAAAAAAAAAAAAGGAACAGCCTGCATTTTTAATGTATGCAGAACCTTACATTGATTACACAATGCAGGACCATGCATTCCTTTTCTTCAGATTATAACTTCTTTCCTCTTGTAATGAATCCTATAGATGGAGTCTTATATTGCACCTTTTAGTAAACAAGTCATAAAACTTCTTCAAGTCCTTAACAACCAAAAAAAGCTGGAACTTTTTTAAAGGAAAGATATTGCTACAAAATTTGTAATTATTCCTTTTGCATACAATAACTCACTTGAGTTCAATCAGAACTTCCAATGAAAATGTCATTTAAAAACTTAATTATTTATATTAGAAAAATACTCATTCAGAAATAATTTTCAAATTACTCTGTGCTAGGTCTCTTCCAAACTAGCAGTATAGGCTTTACTTGGCTCAGAACTGTCATTGTAAGAGTTTCTACCTTCCTGAGTGCAAGTTTTGCTTTGCTCAGTGTCAGGATTATAAGATCGTCCCCCTTCCTGAGGGCTGGAAATAGCTGCATTCATTTTTTTCTCGATTTTATCAGCTATAGCGCACATTTTTAACTCTCTCAGGCTGCTTATTAGGGTTCCATAGGCTCCCTTCAACCCATGACTCTGATACCAGACTCGAAGCAGCCTAATCTTCTGTTCAGATGTGTCACCAGGACAATCCTGAATGCTCTGATCTATGGCAGGTTCTGATACGCGGTGGTGACGAACAAATTTCTTGACGTCTGTGAGGGTCATCTCTGCCACAATACCAGGAATGTGGCTGCTCAGGTCAACATCTAGGAGCAGGAAAGGAAATGAATGCACATGGCTCTTTTATCCTACTGGGTTTTATCACCTGCACTCAGATTTGATACTTCTCCTATCCAAACCAGGTTAAGTTTCAGGTATTTGTGACTCAGTATGGTTTAGTTGTGATTTTTTACAATACATGGCAGGTCTGTTTTTACATGTTCCTGCCAGGTGCTAGGTATTTGAAAGATTCAGGCTTGCAGCCATATTGCTTTCTAGCAGCTAAAAGAGAGTCTCAGTTCCCTCTGTAACCTATTCTGTCCTTCCCTATCATGGAGGTGTGGTCACCTCTCACGTACCCATCTTTCTCAAAATAGCATTGGGAGAGGTCATGAAACAGGATAGGTCTTCTGTTGTGTTACAGCCTCTGAGCTTATCTTTTTTCCTGTTGTGTACCTGTGGATTTGCCCCTGAACACAATGTGGGTTTTGTGAATCTTCAATCCCACTGTGGGACTGCTCCGTAATCATAAATATCCATGGTCACAGAACACAGTTTGCTGCTTCCTAGTGTCTGTGCCACATGCAGAACAAAAAATCACTTGTAGACAATGAGTAATGGCTCCCTATACAACAGAAATTCCTCCTGAGGCAAGACTTCTATGATGCCACTAAGTGCCTTGATGAGCATTATATGAACTGGCACATCTTCAGCAAGTGTTCACTTTTGTGCTGGAATAACAGGTGTGGACAGTGGCAAAGTCTACACAAAAATACTCTTTTTTTTTTTTTTTTTTAGTTTAGGAATTTTATATCTGTATCTGTTTTTTCTTTCTACTGAATTTTGATAGATTACTTGTCTCTTACCTGCAACTATGAGAGGTATATTCTCCTGAAAAAAAAAAAAAGGAGAGAAATAAGTAGAAACAAGCTTTGTAAAACACCACGCTTATATAAGAGGTTAAATACAATTCATGATACTTTGATTTTTCTTTTAGTTTTCTCCATGATTCCTCTTTTATGAGTGAGAGAGTCAGACCAGACAGACAGACCTCTTTTGACTTGGATAAGTTTGGGGAATCACCTCCTAATGCCTAGAATTATGCATGGGGACAGGAATATCCTGGGTTGGTGGAGGCCTGATGATTTATGAAGTTTTGATTGTGGTCATGTGACTTAGGAAGCATTCCAACAATCCTGAAGAAGTAATACAGGATTTCTCTTACTTCTCCCCAAAGAGTTCTTGTGGTGAAATTTGCTTCATTCATGTCACAGAAGAGAGGCACACAAATGTTTGTGGAGACCCAGTGCAATTTAAATGAAAAAAAAGTTCTTTGCATAAAGCTGAGATTTTTATGATCGAAGCAACCATACTTACTGTCTCTCTGTAAACTCCATTTTTTGGGTCCTCAATGTTCATAAGACCCCTCTGTTTTCTCCTGTCTGAAACAAAAAAAGCACTTATAAAATCTGGGGCAGGATATCTCTCCTTTGGACTCTAAGAATATAAAATTATATTTGAATAAGCATCTGAGTATCTCATTCAGAGTATAATAGGAATAAGTAGGGAATCACTTACACCAGGCTATTGCTCCAGTTATTGCTAGTAGTACTACCAAAACTACCAAAGCAATGATCAACCACAGCATTTCTGGTTCTGTTGGAACATTGGAAAATTTGCATGAAAGTCAAGAAATGCAACACAGCAGCACACCAAATTTTAAACAAGACTGAGTCAGATTTTAAAAGCCCTCCTGTTGTTCCTGACAACAAAAGCCAAATATGTTCAAGACATACCTATGGTGAGCTGCCCCAAGAAGGGGTAACAGCTCCCACACCTGCACAGTGATCAAGGAAAACCACGCTCTGCAGGTCAGCAGAGGGCCCAGTGGGAATAAGGCCCTGAGCTGTCAGGAATTACTATGGCCAGTGTGTAGAACAGGATAATTGCAATTGCCTCTCAAAATCCAGCATGTGCTGGGCCTTGCTATGTTTTAAATGGTACCTTTCGTTCCGCATACAGTGTCTGAAGCTGAAGTACATTGTTTTTCAATCACACCGCTTTCACATCTGCAGAAAATATGAACACAAATTATTAGGGGATTTTTTTTTCTCTCTGAAGCTGTTGAGAGAGCAAATCAAAATCTTCTAAGATGTTTTATCAGCAAAGTATTTCACATTTTACTGATAAATATGCTGGTTTCATATTCCAAATCCCTGATCTTGGGGTTTGGAATTCAATTGGTATGAAAATGGCATGGTAGTTTGTGGTAGTGGGAAAACGTATGAAATTATTTTTCAGTGTAATAGGAAAGCTCAGATACTTTATTAGACTTTTTGAAAAGCATATACAGACTCAGTGGATATGTAATTTTTTCTGCATGCCTATGGAAAGCCTTCATGGCTGCAAATGGAGCTGACTGAACTCAGTCAGCTCAGGTGCAAAGGAAAATTGGTATGCTTTCCCTGAGGTTATAGATTACCTTAGCCTCTGTCTCGAAACCAGCTGGAAGAAAATGTGATTACATATTAACAATTTCATATGTAGTGATGAAGGCATGAACTTACATGGTACATGGAATGCAAGTGTCACATCCTGCAGGACTGCAGAAATAGTTCTTTGCACAGGCACACTGCGTGTCCTCTTCTGGGGTACAGTTCTTCACAACCTCCAAACCTGAAAACCAGATTTCTTAAAGTGTATTAGTCTGAAAAAGCAGGCTTCTGCCCACAAAGTCTTGTCCTCAGACTTGCTGCTAGCTCCACCTCTGCTGGAGCTGGCGAGGCTTAGCTTTACAATACACACAAGGAGTTTTTCTAAGGAGCTGGGCTGGCGGAGCTGTCAGAGAGACCTCTGCTGGAGGAGAGCGCAGAAAACCATCACGCAGTGCAGCCCTCGCCAGAAGAGGACTCATTCAGCACAGCCAAATCCCAGCTTCTTTTTCCCATTTTGTACTGTAAAGCCAGAAGGAAACTCAGAAGATCACACAGCCAATCTCCCTACCTGAAAATGGAGCTGGGTTCTTTGCACTCCCTGACAGACAAAAAGTTTTACCTTTTCTTGAAGACCTCCAATGATGACGAATCCACTCTCTCTTTTTTGGCTAACATACCCATGTTAAGTATTCTTCTTAAGAATCAAAACAAATTATTAATTTTCTCCTATCCTCAGTTTATATGATAATGTTATCTCTATCTATGAAAAAATACTTCTGCATTAAAAATTACTGTATCTACCTACTATGAAAGCTATTTTCATAGGCATATCAAAACAGAACTAATTTTTGCGTTACTACATTCAGTGCCCTGCTGTAATTTGAAACTACTTGATATTTCAAAATTTGATGAAGCTCTACTGTGAAATAAGTGCTGAAGTAACTCATGGAAATACAGGATATGAATGATTATAAGAACGGCTCATATGGAACTTCAGTGGTAATTTTCCTCTTACCTGCTGTCAGTCTACTGACTTCTCTTGAACTACAATACTGTGGAATATTGTGACTAGCCATCCCCTTTCCCTTTTCCTCCCTTCAGTTTTAATAATTGTGACACACATAAAACACTGAATTGTTTCACTCTTACCAATTTCATCACCCACACAAAAATGCTTATTAGAGCAGAAAATGAGAGGAAAGTTTTCTATCCATATTGAGGTCCTAAAGGAAGAGGAGTGCACTGAAGATTGATATTCCAACAGGTGATCTGAGTAAAACCATATTGGAGCTAAGAACTGTCTCTCCATTCACTACACTTGATTTTGGGTATGAGGAATGAAGAACTACCATTCCCTAAATCCAAGCAGAGCAGATCTACAGGACACCGGGTGGAACTGGTAGGTGATAAGTTTAATGGATTTTTTTAAAAAAATCTGTGATGGGTATTGATGCAATAGGTAGTGCATTTCTGCTGTCACCTCGCAGGTTCATGACCAAAGGGCTCATAAATAGACACTGAAATGACTAGGTGGGGATAGATCTTCTAATGTCCTTTCCCTCTGCTGTGGATGCTGATGGACTGCAGGGAACAGACCACAGAAAGCAGACAGGTTTGTTTGTGTTGTCTCTAAACAGCAGCTCCTGCCTGCACTGCTGAATGCAGAACACTGGGGTAGGTGGGCTCTGCCCCAGGAGGGCTTGCCTTGCAGTCTGGTACATGCATCCCACACTGCACCTTGAGTGTCCTTCAAAAGACAACAACCAGTTTTAAATAACATTATCAATTATGTGAAAGGCCACAAAAAAAAATCACTACTTCTTACACCCCTCTTTTAAACAGAGGGTGAAAAAGAGGGAGAACTTGCCTTCCTTGACTCTAGAGTTTGTACAGTGTATGCTTTGCAAGGACTTTGGCTAACCAAAGGTAGATATATGGAGAAATAATGGATCAGCTATTTTTCTTCCTACTTTGTGCTTGATGAAAGGGACCTGGAGGATAAACTTACTGCTTTCTCTCAAATTCATTCATGTCCTACGACTAAAAGTTTTGACTCTACATGCTAACCACGATTAGGTATTGTGGAGAAATCCTGTATGAAAGAAGAGTCATTGCTACAGTTGCTATTTCTATAGCCATACCAAAGCTACTGTCGCACAATTTACATCTCAAACACTTGTCCAAGTCATTAGGGTGATTCATGAATTCCTTTCCTTTCTCACATGGAGCACAGTGTTTGATAACATCTGTTGGGCAGGAGACATTTTTAACAAAACCTGTAGAGACAGAAAACCAACAATCAATTTAGAGAGCAGCCACAGCTCTAAGACTAACATCATAATTTCATTTTTAATCCCTAATACATTTTGATTCCAAATATGGAATGTATGTTCTTTGTGCATGTGTAGATGCACTTCAGGAATGTAGTATACATAACATTTGATTATCCCCACCCTTTCTCCAATGTAATACTGAAGGAGAACACACCAAACAAAACTGTACATGAAAAATTGAAAAATCCACAAATGTATGGAATCCTGTAGGCAAAAGCATATGTTTTCACTTTTTCAACCTTTTTCAAATATGTGTATGTTAATACTTGGCTCTTTTGTAACAAGCATGTTATGAGAAAACTGCTCTGTAGTGAGAAGTTATTGGTGCATTGAGCTCAAGAAATATCTTTGAAGTGGCTTATGTCCTGTAAGAAAACAAAGATACAGCTGGAATGAAGCACTGCATCCAGGAAACCACCTCGTGCCACTTCAGTATCCCAGCACAAAGCAATTGTGCATGCTGTGGTGTCCCCTGTTCATGACTTCTCAACACAGTCTTACAATCATACTCACCACTTCTGCATTTCTTGCAACACTGAGTATCTAAATTGTATTCATCCTCCTTGCAGTTAATTTCCCTCCTGGAAATGATCCTCCTTTTAGACATTATTAGAGCTTCAGTATCATTTTTGCACTGTGTTTCAACAATTAAAAGAGCCACCTAAAGAGAACAGAAAATTAGACAAAAAACTATTTAGGACTGTGCACTAAAACTGTGTGTTTTAGTACTAGAAGAGTCACATTAATAATGTTACTCTGCAACTAAACATATTAATATTCACTCCCTTGTTAAAACTGTTCATTACTTTAGATTTAATAGACAACAAGGGCCCATATTAAAGCCACAACCCTACCACTACAGACTCTCTCCTTTCAAATTAATTTACAACAAATCCATTTCTTTGAATTTTTTGTGCTGTCAAGTTAAATTGCATACTGCTGGGAGTTTTTTGTTTGTTTGTTTTTATTTCTGTCATTAGGCAGTAGAGGTTTACTAGTGGTCCCTGCCCTGCCTCTTCTCATAATGATAATAAAGCACTGTGGCCAAGAGGCCAAACCATGTTTTTTTTATTATTTTGGAAGAAGGAGGACAAATGATAAGGATAAATCTGGTGTAGTTTGCCTTCTTCTCAGCAATATTTTCTGGGGAACTCTCTATTTACTCTGCATGCACTAAATATGAGATGTCTATATAATGGAGCTATGGATGCTGACCATAATTTCAGTTAGATGCAGAAAACTCTTTATGTTAAATTACTGAAAAAAACATTTTGGATATCAAACTGGGCTCTCAAGTGAAGGAAGAGTTATCTGTTGCTAAATAACTGATGTAACCCATAAGACCATTGCCTTCTACAGGTAGCCACTTCTTTTCATCCTCTAGTCTATTCACAAGTGAGAAGGTGGAAAAAAAATTATTTCCTTAGCACCTATCTGCTTAAAGTGTATATAATATTAGTTACTGGACTGAAATGAAGAAGGCCTTTCTTTGCACCTGGAGGTGAAGCTCCAGCAGCTGAAACAGCATAATTAGCACTGGAGAAACTCTGGGTATGGATGCTCAGCCCATCACTTCCCCTGTTTGGTGCTCTCTCTTCCTTTGCTGCCAAAGCTTTTAGGGTGCTCTCCTCTGAATGCCAGCGTAATGATGTTAAAAAATGAAAGTCTCCACAGAAGCTTTCAAGTGGATGTGTCAAATTAATGTGATTTGTTTTCCCTTTGCCTGGGAGAGCTATCTCACTAAACACTGGATTAGAAAGTACAGTTAAAAAATAATCACTAAAATATAGTCAGGGATGGATGACCAGTCTGGTGTGGTTTTTCCTAAAGCAGTATGAAGAAAATGTCCGGAGAGTCAAGCAGAAAATAGAATATAATCAAAGAAGGAAACATATTTCTAAATTCCTAATACCAGTAAAACCTTGCTTATTTTACCAAATGCCTGCAAGCATAGTGCGTGCAGAGACAGGTATTCCCTCACACCAACAAAGCTCTCTGCCTCTTGTTTATGCTTTTATACAAATGGGCTATGCTGGTAAGAGGGACTACAGAAAAAGAACATTTTTAGATGGATGCCCTCTGCTCCTGCTCACGGAGATGAACTTCCTGGTACACTTACAAGAAGTGGGGGTGACTTCCCAGAATTTGACACTTAAGCAGCACCAAACACCTACATTGGCTCTGCTTGCAGGGATGTCTTACAACACCTTCCTGTGGAAGGAATAATGATAAAACTGTAAAGATTTTTTTTCAAAGCAACGCCCTAATTTTTTTTTCAAACATATTTCCTTCTGGATTTGCACCCTCTTAAAAGCAATCCATTTGCTATTTATAAATTTTGGTGTGTCTCATAGGGGAAAAAAAAAAACCCAACCAAAAAACCAGAAAAGAGTTAATAGTCATTTATCTTCCTGTGCACACCTTAGTTGTTTTTTCTGTTGTCCCCGGGCAGTAAACACTAATATCAGAAGGGAAGCAGTTTAGGGGCTTTTATACAGGCAGGGATGATAGGTGCTTTTTTATGACATGTACACTCAAGCAGTGGTTGTATGTTTTCAGCCTCGAATGACTCACAGAGACACTCTTTTAATTTTCTCAACCTAAAAAAAAAAAGTTTTGGTATCTAAACTGAAGACTGCACTAAGCAGTCAATGGGAATAAGATCAATCAGCTGGGGACATCTACCCTTAGCAGAGCCCATAAAAATTATCATATGAGCCCAAATTTTCTGGTTTTGCTGCATTTGCATTGCCCAGACAATGAAAAGAGTGTTCTACCTGCTCCTTCTCCTTCATTCCAACAGGATCCTCCAAAATGCTTTCACCAACAGGTATTTGCTAAGGACACTTTTATGAAACCTGTTTTCATCTGCATTTCTATGGCACCGTGACAAGAACTTAATTTCTTTGAATACTCCTGTCATTTTGGGATTCTCAGGCCTCCAGTTCTTCCTCTGTCAAAGTATTCTTCATGACATCTCAATCTATTTCAAGAGAAAAGCTTCTACAAGACACAGTTTATAGGTATGTAATCTCAGCTTTGGAAGTGTGTGAACATGTAATTTGCATACAGGACTTTTTAAAACTTTATAATGTGAACCCTGAGGGAAAAAAAAAAAAAAGTCGCTGTTTTCTCCTGTTATCTTTATAATACATTTTATATTTAGCAAGCTACTTCTCCTATTTCTAATCTATAAATGCTGGTGGATGAGGAGACTGATGGCCACAGTATGTGGCTTTTTTTTTTCCACTCCACATTTATTATATGGACCAAGGTGCATGAGCTCATCAGGGGCTTTCTAAGTGTTAAAAAAGGAGGAGGAGGGATTTTTCTTGCCTTTTTTTTTTTTTTTTTTTTTTGCCTCGTGGAAGTTAAGTTGCTAGAACTAGCTTCATTTTAATATGCTTTTCTCTGTAATTAATCTCCCTTGTATTGACTCTGTCAGGCTGGGCTTTTCAAAGAATAATTTCACTCAAGGAGTGATCTTAAGAGGATTCTCTCCTCCAGTTCTTTCACTATGACAAGAAATTTCTTCTTCCAAAATCTCGAGTATCATTTTTCCTCCAAGTCTTTTTTTTCTCCTGCCAAGGCTGAATCTCAGTTGGTACCAAAATGACCTCTAAAAATAGTATTTCACATTCTAAAATCTTTTCATGAAAAGAACAAAAAGGTTGGGCTTTAAAAAATGGATCCATGGGAGTTGGTATTGCCCCACATCTAGAAGCACCCCGAGCTTCTTAAATTCCAAGGGAAAGGCGTGTGTTTAGTGCCTGTGAGAGCAAATAGCCTCAGACTGTTCAGCACCTTAAAACACTCACTATCCAAATTCAATCCACTACCCTTTCATATCTCAGCTGACTCACATGCAAACTGAAACAACATGCTGGGGCTGGAGGTTGTATGATTGGTTATTTTGTTGGGTTCTGCTTTTTAGATGTACCATACTACTGAGCACCTAGTAAATACTACACTATTTGGAGAGCTGGGAGAGATATTAACAGCTCTCACCTCACTTTGTTGAAGCTAAGCATGAATTAGAGCTTGACAGATAGAAATCTAGCAACTCTCACCCTTTTCCTTTTGTAACACAAAATGGTTTTCTTATGATTTTCTCTTTGATCAGTGAGTTACTGCAAAGATAAAGGCGGTTACAGTGGAGACATGTACAGACATGTTTCCAGAATTGGGGCCCTTAAACTTTTCACTTGAATCTTGGGTCGTCTCATCATTTTATGGCTGTATATGCATGTATATGTAAATGTGTATTAGTTTTCCATGATATGAGGAAAAAAGGTCAATGCAGTAATGTAGGAGCCTCGTTTTCAAAAGTATGTCTTCTGAACTTCCAGAAAATGCCTGCTCTGCAGTCATATTATAATTACAAAGTATTTACTCAACAGTTCACTCTCTGGCCTATTCCTTTGGAGTGCTGTCTTGAGGAGAATTTATGGTGGTACTTCATTCCCTAATGGCCTGCTGCAAGGCCAGGAATGGTTGAAGATGAAGCAGGAGGCTGGGCTGGAGCCTGGGAACGCGGGGCGCGGGCTCGGTTCAGCTCTCTCTCTCTGGCGCGCTTCAGGCTGCCACTCGGATGGTTAGCTCACTGCCTTTGCTCCATTTGTATCCCTGCTTGCTCAGGCAAGAAGCTCTTTTTTGTCTTTCCCCACCTTTTCCCCTGGACTTCAGCAGAAATCATTCAGTGGTTTCTTTTAGGTTTTTTTTTTTTTTCCACTTGATCTGTTTCGTCTTGCAGTCCAGGGAGCCTACGGGGGCGGTGGGAAAGACCCAGGCCAGCAAATGAAGGACACTAAAACCCACCAGTTTCACCTGCTGTGAGGAGCAGACCAAGGCCAGAAGCTCAACAGGTTCCTATCTACTTTTTGCCTGAGCTGCTGAGTGGATTTTTTTTTCTGCCCTTCCCTTCCCTGAGACAAAGGGAGCAGCCACCATCCTTGTCTCCTGGCCATCGGGCTGGGTTGGGGGCACGGGGTATAAGGTTTAATTTATTTTTTTCTCTCCCGTGCCTTGTGAGTGTCTTGCTTTGTTAATAAATTTCTTTGTTAATTTCTGTCATGGGCAAAAAGGGATTATTGGAGCCCTTCTCTTTAGAGAAAACATTCATTCCAGAGTGTTTTCTCCTAAAATTTGTCTCTAATCTGATACAAGTGTGTCTCTCAGTGGTACGTAGTTTTGTAGCTTTTTCTACATGGAGAACTCAGATGTTTTCTAACTTCATAGACCATTGTTATTTTTGCACAACTATCCCTAAATTTTCTTTTACTTGTGTGCAGCGTAGAGTTCCTTGCAAAACTGAGGTCTCATTCAACAAACTGTTTTCATGTTCTGGTTTAACCAAATAATATGTCAAACTCTGACCAAGTTTACTATTTTATAAGTAGGGAAACAACATGCTGATTAAAACAAAAATTTCTTTTTTAAAATAGAAATTATGTAGGAATGCTACAGTCTTTCTAAGGTATACTGAAATTTGAAACAATTGGAAAATAACAACAGAAATTATATCTTCTCTGGAGCAGTGCTATAAATGAAAGTATTTTTAATCTTGAGATATATATTCTGAATAGTTCTAACAAACTGAGCTACACTGACATTTCTGTCACTAGTTGGCTGCTCCTGTACAGGAACAGATAATACACACTTCTGTTGGCAGATGATGAGAATCCTTCTTTGTATTTAATTATGCTTTGATGATTTGTGCAGGGGCATGGATAGAGCTCTGTGAAATACTTTAAATATCTTACCACTTGTTATGCAGTTGATCAGATCACAATTTGAGTGGTTTATACATTAAGGCTTGATTTTAACCTGACAAACTGCAAAACGAACTGCGTTTGTTAGCAATAAAGAAGAGACTTCGGAGGTCAGTGTCTCTGGAGGGAACGGGAGGACTGGGGCTGGGGGGCACTGTGCTCTGCACCCACACTTCCAGGTGTGTGTGCTGTACACGGGGCTCGCTGCCGCCTCATCCCCCCGGCATCCCGGGGCTCGGGGCTGCCTGGGGCAGCTCTACCGGAGCGCAGGCCGAGCCAGGGCAGCCACACGCCCCCGGACCTGCCCAGGACTCCTGCCCTGGAGCTCCCAGGACTCCTGCCCTGGAGCTCCCAGGACTCCTGCCCTGGAGCTCCCTGCCGCTGCAGCAACGCACCTGCCCCAGCGGAGAGCCTGTGCTGGCCGCTGACACGCTCCCTACTTCTCCTGTTGACGGCTGCCGTTCAAAGCGGATCTTTGTCAAGGTAACTTTACTGATGAGAGTGAGACACGAGACCGAAGCTCTCAGAAGCTGCAGGGACTCACTGTCTGCACAGGCATGGTTCAGGCAAAAGGGAAGGCCCTGCCCTACTGCTTCCAGTAAGTGCTGCACACGGACGCCAGGCTTAGACTATTTCTCTAGCTTCTCCTGGGTCACTGTCATAGCGCTCCAAACTCCTCCCCCACAGGTATTTGCTTTAATGTTGCTTTCCCAGCTCGCTGGTAGGATCCGCTGAGGTGCAGCGCAGGTCGGCTCCCACCGAGCCGGGTTCAGCCCGGGCACGTCCCGCAGCTCCCCGCGCTGGCAGAGCGGGGACTCTCCACCCGCTGTGGGTGCCTGCGGACAGGAGCCGGCTGTGCCTGGGTCCCCCCACCTACAGCTCACGATCCGACAGCCACCTGCATCCATGCCCCTTTCCTTCCGTCCGCTTTGCACAACACGCCCTTCACTGAGCACCCTTCAAAAGTGCCCGAGCTTGAAGGTGAGTTTTTTCCACTTAAAGCATGGCCTAACGAATTGACTGAAATGTTGGTAACAAGTTTGCCACGGCCGGTGGCGAGCAGCGACCGGGCAGCGCTCCTCGCCCGGCGGCGCCGCACTGCTCCTCCCCGCCCGGCCCCGCAGTGTGCCGGGGCTGTCCCCGCCGCCCGCCCGCTGCCCCGCTCGGGGGGCCACTTACGAGGAGCCGGGCAAGGAGCCTCCTGGCCACGCCGCCGCCGTCCCGCACCTTCCCCATGCCGCCGCTGCCCGGCACCTTCCGGCGGGAAGTGGCCCGTCCCTGCGGGACAGCCCGAGCTGCCCGCGCCCTGCCCCGCCGGCTCCTCCCATGTTGGCAAACACGGCTCGGCCCGCCCCCGGCACGGCACGGCACGGATCGGGGCCGGGCCGGCCATGGGGCGCGGTGATCCCGCTCCGGGCGAGCCGCAGACAGCGGCGGGACAGCCCCGAGCTCGGCGCCCCGCGGTGACAGCAGCGAGGGCACGGAGCTCCCGCTCGGCTGTCCCGGGCTGTCGCGGGTGCTTGGCCGGGGATACCAGCTCGGCAGCCCGGGGATGCCAGGCACGGCCCCGAGGTCACCAAGCTAACAGCCTTAGCGCTGGGAATGAGACGTTCGATTCCTGTGCTTCAGGTGCTGGGCGGAGCAATTGCCTCCCCACCGAGGGCAGAAACTCTTGCCTTTGTAGTACTGCCAAGGACGGGCTTGTGGCAGGCAGTCCCATGTGGGTAGGATGGAGCTCAGAACAGAAACAGGCTAAGCTCACTGCAGCAGGCAGTACTGCCCTTTGCTGTCCTATTGAACGGGTTGCTCAAGCCCGCGACTTCTATTTTCTACCTGTTTCCAGTCACTTGTGTTTTTCCTGCAAGCTTTCAGAGGTTTGAAATGCTGGTAGTCTGGCCTCCTTTGTAGAGTCAGAAATGACGTGACGGAGTTAGTTACTGATATGTGTTTTCATCTTTCAGGTTTTGACATGATTCGATTGCCTTGGGAGGACCATGGTTGCAATCGAGCTGGCATTTTCATTTTAAGCACCATTTTTCAGTGGTTTATGACTCAGATTTTCAAAAACCCTTCAGCTTTTCTGCTGGTACGGCTCTTAGCTGCAATACAAAACATCAACAAAAATTAGCTACTGTTTTAAATACTTCAGGCTTTTAAACCACTTCCGGGTAAACCAAAAGTGCTGCTGACACACTTTTAAGATGCTGTCTTTTGAGCACCCTTGAACAATCCACTTTTTGCCTTCCCAGTGGCAGTACGGAATATAACGAAGGAGAAGCATGTCTTTTGGGTGCGGTTCCTAGGTTACACGTCTCTAGCTCCTACTGGCAAACCCAAATCAGCGTGTCTGTGAGGCTGCTAATTTTAGCGGAAATTTGCGTGCGGGTAGGGGTGGAGTAGGGACTGCAAGCAATGTTGTCCAGATCCGGATCGTTGCTGCAGCAGAAAGCTTGGTAGAATTGTTTCCAGATCCATCACGCGAGGGGATTGTGTTTTGTCCTAAAATCAAAACCTTATGTGGCTGGGCCCTCAGCAGGCATTGCTCAGGGTTCAGTGACACCTCGGTGTGCCTCCTGCACTCACTATTTGCCCGATACCATCCTCTGATGTCACTCTAGTCTGTTGGGTGCATGTGGTTTGCACTCCTCCCTGCCCCCAGAGTGTGATGACTGTGTGCAGCTTCTTTGCGGTGGAGTGTTTTTGTCTTAGGGAGTTTGAGAGATGTTTGAGAAGCCACCAGATTCATGTCAAAACAACAGTGTCTGCACGTGACTTGAAGTCGTACCTTATGTAGTTAATAACTGTAGTTGTCTGGGGTTTTTAGATATAAAATGATGAAGGAGAAATGTGTTCGGAGGTCTTCCTGTTGTTTGCTGGGGAGAGAAGACAAAGGACTCGTGATTTAATGTGAATCAAGCAAAAGCTGTTTATTGTGCTTCTAAACATTGTTTTTATTTACTTCCTATCTTGGTCTACACAGTCACACATTGTTTAATTGGTAGCTCTGTTTTGTCCATGCATCTCTTGATTGGTAGCTGTGCTTTGTCCATGAGGCAGCACACATCTTTTTCTTAATCTAATTGGTAGATGCTGTAAATGTCATTTTATTCGAGTTGACACCCCTAAGTTTGTCATGAACTTTTCTCCTTCTTCTTTCTTCTTGCAACATCCGCTTATTTATCCAGAAAGATGACCTTGTTCTTTAGTTCCAGAAGGTTAGGCCGGTTCATTTAGTATATGTCCATTGTCCTGTAAATATGATCCTATAGTCTGACTATTCTGAGTTGGTGTCAATGAGGACTATAAGGCCAGTGTTTTCATCTTTGCTCTGCTCCTTGTGTTGCAGCAGCTTCTTTTCAGCAGGTAAAAGTGGCAGCATCGACTCTTTTCTTTACTCACCCTTCATCTGAAGCTTAATTCTTGTGTCAGCGGCAGCCTGCTAAGCAGTACAGGCTCTGCAGTTTGTCTCTGCCAGCAGATGGCCTTGTGCCTCGCCTAATGTGGGAACAGGGGTCAGGCTGGGGCAGGATGCAACTCGAGAAACACACACGTTTTAGCTCCTTTGCAATTCCAGCTTTAAATATGTACGGTTCTGGAATTAAAGTGATTTTTAATTTTTTTTTTTTACTGTGGTGATTTGATTTGCATGTGTGTGTGTGTTGTGTTTCTTTTTTCCCCTTGTAATTGTTGTCCTATGTCATATGTACACTGGTCATAGGGAATTCTGCTCTGAGCAAAACCACCCAGGGAATAATTTTGGACACACATGGTGATCATATTCTTGCATTTGGTGTTTCTAAGTTGGAATCATTATTTGCACCTTAACTGGCATCAAACCTTTTCTCCAGAAAGCTGCTTGCACCTAAAGAAGCTGATACTGTTGGTGTATTGCGATACTATGGATTGCTAAGTTTTTGAGAAGGTTAACTTAGCTAGTCTCTCCAGGTGAAGAAAATTTTTCAAGGTGAGGTAAAACATAATTGAGGGCCCAGAGCCCCGTGCATTGTATTGCTCTCACCTCAGAATATTGAATCTATGTTTATACTCCAGATGGAAAATATGGGGGAGAAAGTATAAGAACTGACTTGCTTTCTATTACATTTTTCTCTGTTAAATTATTAAAGATTTTTAATTTTTCAAAAAGATATTTGGTTTAGATTTGTTTTGGCATATTGGTTGTCTTTAGCTGTTCTTTTGTACTAAGACTGGGCCCTTACATTAATTGTGTAGCTCCATCAAACTTAAATTCTCCTTTGACCTGAAATACACATTAAAAGACCATTGTTGGTTTGTTTTTTCGTTTGTTTGTTTCAGTTTCTGTCTTTTGTTTTCTTTTGCTTTCCTGTTTTCCCTCTCCCCTGCCTCATGTATGTTCAAGAGCCACCAACCTACTTTTGCCTTTTTGTTCAAGACCTAGAGTGAGTGATCCATTACTCATGCAGCTCGATGGTATCTCCTTCATCTTTGATTCAAACCTCTTCAGTGATGTGACTCATGTCACAAGCATCAGCTAGCACTATTGGGAAATTTTCAGAGTGGTATCAGTCTTTAAATAATCAGCTCTTGCCCAATACAGTTTTATGCTGGTTGTATTATTTTCCAGATCTTCTGTGAAAAGTTGGAACAGTGACCTTGCTGCACCCTTTGCACCACGGCCTCATAGACCAGAGAAGATCTGTAACCACTGTAAATATGGTTATTTGTTGCAGTGTGGTGTGGCCAGATTCTGACAGCTGAAGGGTTGCCCTTCTGCCTTTGTTCATAAACCACTATGAACCACTCCTTCCAATCACCCAGGTTTGTGGTGCACTGAAATGTTCTTTGTCAGGTGTTGTGGCAGTGAAGCACTTTGTTGGCCCTAACACCCTGTTCTGTGTGTGGAGAACGGGACATGACAGCACAGAAGAGGGAAAGTAGGGTGTGACCTGAGAGGTTTATGAAGACCCTGTGGGGTTCTTCATAAGGGTGCTGCCCAGTATTGCATCAAATCACAGATCAGGGTGTTCTGGCATGCAGTGTACTTCTCTCAGAAGTACAGTGATCTGATATACCCTCCTGTGGAGCCATAGATGCTACTGTTTATCTGAAAAAAACCCACACTAGCAAGAAAACAGAATGGAAACAAAAAACCAGCCTAGAACAAAAGAGAGTGGAAACTGAAACTCATGGCAAGTGACTTGTGTCCTCTAGCTGTTCTCTTCTGGAGAAGGTGATAAAGGAGAACTGGCCATAAACCCTGTCATTCTTAAAGGAAATTGAAACAGACATGTGTCCTTTTTCTCATAATTTAACCTCCTGACACAACCCTGGATCCATGCTTTTGTTCAACAGACCCAGTTTGATGACGTCAATGAATTCTTCACAGCAGGGAAAAAAAAAAAAAGGCATTTTTCAAACAAACTGAGCATTTCCTTAGACTGGAAAAGCAAATTGGCTGAATGCCTGGCTGCTCCTACAGCCAATCACCATAACCTTACCATAAATGTAGATGTGTTTCTGTCTTAGAGTTGATTATTGACTTTACTTTAGACATGGGACCATCCTGTCCCAGTCCTCTATGTGTGCTCTGTACAAGGGAGTGCTGAGGTTCTAAATGCTGCATTATTTACCAAATATTCTGCACTTTGCATGGACTGACATAAAATTTGACTTTGTGACTTGATAGATTGTAAATGCATCTGTTTTAATTGTTTTGCAGAGCTCTGTATCCATCCAGATCTTGCAGCAGGCAGCTTTGTCTCAGAGGCTGGCTGGTGATATTTTCTCTTTTTTTTTTTTTTTTTTTTTCAGGCAAATTGGTCTTAGTTGTTTTTTGAAGATGCTATTATTAAGATTAAGCTTTATACTTTCAAAGCTTGGTGTACTGCAAATGCTAACTGTCAAATGTGAAACAGATCAACTGTAAAAGGTTTGCAGATAATGTGCTAGGGGTGCTAAATGTTCTTCAGAGGTGAGTGAGGAAGTGTTCAAACCTTTTCTCTTCAGCTACTGCCTGGACAGAGCGCTGCTGATTTAATTTGTGGGTTTCTTCCATTTGTGAGATAAATCCAAGGCTGAGTCTTTGTGCTAAGGATGAAAGAGGAAAAAGATCTATAGAGAAATGTCTGAAGTTAAAAGGTAAGTGTGAATAAAAGGAGATCTTTAGTTCTGCTTTTGACCTTTAATCTGAAGATGGCCTTAACAGGTGCACCAGATGGCTTCACTTCCCATGTTGACTAAGTGATGCTCAAAGAGCCACACTTCAAGGAAGTTTTGCTTATAATTTTAAAGAAAACAAATTTTATTAAATGTGGTAGTGAGGAGGAGAAGCTAAAGGAAACATTTTGAAGGGTCTTAGCATGCTGTAGTTTCTGATATTGTAAGAAATATTGCAAGTTTGGAATTCAGTTCCACTGTTTTGCTTTGCTCTGTCATGCTTCTCTTTGTGGGATATCATCTGATAAGTGAGACTAGCAGGCTTAGATAAAAGCAGTGTCATGTAGCTGAGACTCCAAACACTCTTGGTTTGGTTTCTTTTGATATCACTTAACCTTTGAAATACTTTGGGGGTGGGGAAGACACAACAGTGATGTGAAAAGCTTTATCCCTCCCACTAACATCTCAGATGCAGCTTGGCATCCGCTGTGACATCAGAGCCAGAAGAGCCTGCAGCGATCCTGCTCTGGGTGTTTGTCTCCTGGGCATGGCTGTGTGCTTGGCAGCAGGACTTGTGCTTCAGGTAGATGCTCAACAGCTAAATCCTGCTAGAGAGGGGCTGTTGTGGTAGGAACAAAGTTTGGAGGTCAGAGGGTTATCACGTTTCCTGCCTTCACCAGCTCCCCCACTGCCACCACACATTTGCACAAACAGAAGAGAGGCCTGGCTAGCTGCTGAAGCTACAGGAGTGAGTCATATTTTCTCTATTCAGCTGCACAGCCCAATCCATAGTAAGGTTTTGTGAGCTGTAGCAAATGGATTGAGTATGTAGTACAGAGAGATTTATATTTCTGTCAAAATGCAGTGGATTGTTTTCTGTTGGTGGTTCTCATCAGCAATTAAATGATGTGCTTGGATAGCTGTGCATCTCTAAGGGTGGTCACTAAGAGAAGGAATGCAGTGATGCTAGCTGTCTGAAGCGGTCTGTTCAATTCCCAGATAAGACATCAGTGTTATTTTTCATCTGAATAATTTCTCAAATACTTGTTTTCTTTTGAAAGAGGCATCCTTTCCACTCTACCCAGTAGCTGTCTCTCCTGCTGTCAGCCAGCTCAGATGCAGGAATGGGATGAGTGACTGCAGAGGGATGGACAGCAGAACATGCATTTCTGGTTCCCTGGGATGGGCAGCAGTCTGGTGGTAGTGCAGGCCATGGCTCTCAAAGCCACAGGTTTCCCATAGGTTTCTCCCAGCTTGGGGATTCTCAGAAACTTCCCTGCCTGGAGGCAGCCAGCTGAGAGGAGAGCAGTTCCTCAGTTTTTTATGAGAAATGAAGAGGA